TAAAAATTTATTTCCCGTGAGAAAAAGGAATGATTAGAACTATTGGAAAAAAGTTCACATGTGTCTTTTCAGGGAAACTTCTCCCGGCTTTAAAGGCAGGAGATGGCATCTGGTATGAATAGAATCGCACAGGGTCCCTTTGTGTCATTTGAGGCTGGAGAGGGGACTCTGCCTGGGGATGCAGAGAGGCTTTGCTGGCTCCTGACATTTGAGACAATCTGCCCTTTTCCAAAGGCAAACACCTTAGAAGTATTTTCATGAGCGGTAGCGGTAATCAGGCTGAAATCCCAGTTCCCCCGAAATCAATGGGCTCTTTTGCAGCCACCGTGATAGGGCCAGCCTCCCTCTCCTGATCTCTGCTGGGGATGAACCAGCAGTGCCAGCACAGGGCAGGGACCGTGGCGATGCCCAGAGCTGCTTGTCCTCAGCCCTTCAGCAAGGAGCCCTCCGAATCTGCGGGCAGAAAATGTGGAGGAATGAGTGGGGAGAGGGACGGGGGAGAAAAAGGAACCTACAGAAAGGAAACAGGTAAAATGATTAAAACAAGGTCGTTCCGTGTGCTACAGAGGACTTGTAAGACAGCACGGGCTTGTGGAGTAGGAAAAAGCAAGCGAGTCAAAGTCCAGGCTCAAAAGACCAAAAGGAAAGGCAGACCTCGTCAGAAACCAAGGAGAGGTGGAGCGAGAGGCAGCCATGGGGCCGTGATGCTGTTGAGGAGGTAGGGGCAGAGCCTCCCTGGCGAGGGAGGATGCTGCACGTCGGGGAAGAGCCCCGGGAAAGGGCCCATCGTCACCCCGCAAACCACCCGCCACCTGGGTATCCACCCCAAGTTTCGTGCCACTTATTTTACATCCATTAGAAATAAATGTAACTTCTGGCTCTCTTCAGCACGCAGGAAGCAGTAGAAGCTGCATGCCTGCCATGCGTTCAGCACAGGATTTGAGGACAGGCCCCGACCCCCTTCCAGGGCTAAGACGAGTCCGGGTGAGCCCGGGGCACCGCAGCCTGCACTGGACACGGGATCCCTCCTGTCGGCATCGCTGGCGGGCGTTCAGCCTTCTCCTGCCCGCAGTGCTGTCGGGAGCCCAGGGCAGGACCCTGCTGGGCACCATCCCCGTCTGCCTCGGCTCAGCGCGGAGCCCCAGCCACTTCCAGATGTGCCTGAGTCCGTCTGTGCAGGCGGAGCGGATGGGAAGGGCTCTGCCAGCGCCAGGTTCTGGGTGGGTTGTGCACAACCCATCCTCGCGCTGGTGTGGGCCGGCGGCTTCCCACAGTGCTGCAGCCTCCCCTTGTCACTGGAGAGCTCTCCCAGGGCCCTTCCTTTGGGGGATTTTGGGCACCATTGGTATAAAATCAGCGTTTTTCATCCACACCGGCAGCGATTATGCTCCAGCTGGTGCAAGAATCGCCTTGCCGGGGCAGCGGGATCCATGCCCTGCTGTGACTGCGTAGAAATCTTTCTTCTACTTGGTGAGTCCTCTGGTTTTCATCCTGCTTCCAAGGGATAACAATCTGCGCAATTTAAGGGTTGCTCTCAGCTCCAATCCAGCTGAGAGGGATGAAGAGGAATCGTGTGGCAGGTCTGTGCTTTGCCCAGGGCAGCTTGGCTGGCACCGCCCGCCCAACGCCCGCAGCTCCCGGCACGGCCCCGAGACCGATGACCGGTGCTGGGAGCTGAGGGACTGGGCTGAGCGGCACGGCCGGAGCCCACGTTGATCCTGCTAGCAAAAGAAACCCATGTTGAACATGAGACCAAACTGACTGGCCCTTCGCAGAGCAGAAGCAGCTGGCTTAACTAATGAAACGTCAAAAATTCCAGCTAGACGTACCAGAAAACAGACAGGCACGCGAGCCAGGGTGGAAGGAGTTGGAGAGGATCCGTGCGGCT